GATCATTATTTTGTTAGTGCGCTCTGATAGTCCATCCGTCTGTGGGTGGAATAATGTGGACATCTTGTGTTTCACACCAGTCAAGCGACACAATGATTTCTAGACTGCGGATATAAATTTGATGTCACAATCGGAAATGATGTCGACTGGAAGTCCATTTTTGCAGTACCATGCATTGAAGAAAAGCGCTGTGAATTCAGGTGCAGTGACATTAGTACACATGGGGATTAGATGCATGTTGGAGCCAAGGCAGTCGAAGACAGTCGCAATGGCATTGAATTCATCTTCCTCTGGGAGGGGGCCTGTGAAGTCAATTGTGATAGAGTTACAGCGGCCATCGGGAATGGGGAGTGGATGCAGGGGACCCGAGGGCTTATGTGTGCATCCTTTGTTGTGTTAACACTCTGCGCATGTGGGGACGTATGCCTGCTCGAGGTCATGCCTCATATTTGGCCAGTAATGTGCATCACGAAGCATTGCGTATGACTTCTCAGCACTGAAATGGCTGAGGGAGTCATGCATCAGCCGGAACAGTGATTCGCGAAGCTCATTGTGGTGAGGGATGACAAGTTACTCACCAATATAAAGCAACTCATCCTGTAGATGAACACCAGGTTTGGATTCAGTGTTATAAAGGAGCTTTTGACAGAAGGCGTCTGTTGTATAGCTCTGGTGAATGTCATCAAGGATGAATTGATCTGTATCAATGTGGAAGACTGCCATGAGGATGCCCAATTTGATGCATGCAATCTCCTCATCTGATACTGGAGGGAGGCAAGACAGTGCATCAGCAATAGTGTTTTCATCACCTGGAATATGTGGCATTCATAATTGGCGAGAAACTCTTGCCAACGCGCTTGTCATCAGCTGAGATCTCACTGTGATTCGAAGTTTTCCAGTGTTTTGTGATCTGTATAAATGATGAACGGTGCACCAAGAAGATCACTTTGCCACTTCTTAAGAGCACAAATGATAGCGAGCATTCCTTTCTCATGAGTTGGGTAGCACATAAATTTGTTGCGACTTGAACGTGACAGGTCAGAATGACTCCCAAGAGGGACATACAAACAGGACAGTACCAGTACCCCATTCATTGGCATCTGTAGTCACGTAGATGTTGTCATTCCCAATATTGTCATGGTCAATTATTGTGAGGCATTCACATCCCAAAATGAGTTCTTTTATCACCTGAAATGCGACCTGATGTTTCTGTTCCCACCCTGGAAAAATCTTATCAGCCAATTTCAGGGTCAATGGTGTCAGGATCGAAGTGTGGGTGGTCAGTTGCAGAAGGAAAATGGAGATATAGTGTACGAGCCCAAGGAATGCATGTACATTCTTCGTGCAATGTGGGACAGGCCAGTTGATAATATGAGCGACCTTGGATAGGTCTGCTTCGATGCCATGTGCAGAGATGTGATGTCCACAGAAATTAATCTCTGGGCAGAAGAGTGCAGTCTTTCTGATCAAACAGAACAGGTGTGAGACATGAAGTGCCTCCAGTATGGTCATGACATTCTGTTCATGTTGGTCTAGAGATTGCATCCAGATTATAATGTCATCTAGGTACACATGGCAGGTCTTGCCAATGAGTGGACATAGCATGGCTGTCATGCAGCGCTGGTGGGTGGAAGGTGCATTGTGACAGCCTTGGGGCATTACACGCCACTCGTAGAGGCTGAATGGTATGTGTACTGCAGTGTATTTGATGTCATCAGGGTGTATACAGGTTTGATAGAATGCATTGGTCATGTCCAGCTTGCCTCAGATTCTTCCCTTTGCACAATCAGCAAGGATATCATCGATGCGAGGCAGTGGTCAGGAACCATGTTCTGGTTGAGATGACAGTAATCATTGACCCAGCGGGGCAATGCAATAGGATCTGATTTAGGGATGATAAATGCTGGAGCGGCATATTCACTCAAGGATGGGTGCATATGACCGGAATCAAGGTGCTGTTGCAGGAGGGTGTGCCATGCATCACAGTACTTGCATGGGCAGGCATATGACTGCATCACAATGACCTTCCCCGAGTCCTTAAGGGCCCATTTGGCATCAAAACATTTGCGTCACGCAAAGGTTTGTGTTTATTTCACGCATACGTCCAAATAGATGCACACAATGGGCTGATCTTGCTGCTGTCACGCCCCACTTCCAGGCGGCCATGTTGACCAACACCAGGAATCGCTGCTCATCATGCGTCTGCCTTTGCTCGTCGTTGCCAATGATGAGCAGGTGGATTAGGATGCATCAAATAAGACTTGACTAGATGATTAGATATGAATTTGGCATGATAGAATACCACATGCTCTCTTCAGGTATTGCTGAGTTCTACCAATGCAACTGCACTCTCAGATACTCATGCCCATTGCCATTGTTGAGGGCAGCAAGGCGGGAACGTCGGCAGTGGGGGGAAAACCCAACTCATCAGTCACAGGCCATCACAACCTCGGGTTCACCGGAGCTTTCAGGAGTTTATGGCTTCTGAGTGTTTGCGTTGTGAAAGCGTTTGCGTGACGCAAATGTTTCGATGCTGAACGGGCCCTAAGCAAGAACCTTTGGTAGACATCGGTAGGTAGGTCAGCGAAGGGTGGGGTGTTGATGGGGAAAAGGTCTGCAAATTGTTATTTATACTTGAGATCAAATTCTAACAGACGCTGTTGCGATGTGAGTTCCTCAATGCATGCATGAATGAATGGAAGCAGGTCGGTGGGTGCAACAGGGTCACACCGACAATCAACATGTTGTCGTTGAGCTTGCAGGTGGTCACATAGTTCATCAATTATGCTACATGTGGCTGCCACCACACGAGAAGCAGACTGGGCACGTGAACAGCCTGCCAGTGGAGTGGTCTTTCATGTAGGGCTGGGAGAATGGAGTAGATCATAACCGGACACCTTATGAGTCACTGAACTCTCATGTGCATCAATGACAAGCTTGTTGGTAGCCATAAAGGGTAACCCTAAGAGTATAGGCATTTCTAGTCCGGGCATGACAAGAGCGGGCATAACAAGAGAGCAGAACAAGTGATCGGGAGAGTCCAACTTCAATTTCATCCAATGAGACGATGATGAGACTGTGTTACTTCCATCACCAGCAGCGCAAAAAGCTCAACCTGATGAGAACAGTTTGAGAGGCATGCGGTGAGAAGCCCAAGTTTGTCGACAAGGGTTTTGCTAATTAACACTGCATGAGAGCCATCGTCAATGAGGGCACAGATAGGAAGTGGACAATCAAGGTTAGGTCCATCGATAAGACAGGACCAGTATAGGTTGGGTTCAGAGAATGTGGGCATGTACTCATTCTTATCAGAGTCCGAGCCATCTCCAAGAGACAAAGATTGGGCTGCAGAGAAAACAGTGGCGACATAAGCTGGTTTATTCGTGACATCCTGTACGACAGTGGCAGTGAGCTTTCGCTTTCCATCCTTCACAGCATCAGGAAAACCCAACTTTTACCTAAAGGTGTCCTTATGTGACTTAAATGCACTTATGAGCCTTAAATAAGATAAACAAGGACAAAAAGTCCATAAGTCATATTTCCTTAAAGACTTAAAAGTCGACTTTTGTGGCCAATAGTGCTCAGTACGATCACAAAGTGGCCTATAAGTGTCAAAAAAATCGCCCAAAAATTTGGCCATCCAAAAACCTCATGGGAAAAACTATCTGAGTGCATTTTTGGGGGTTTTAGACCTCCCTGAGTCTGAATCTGAAGTTCATTTGTCTCAGAAAAATCCGGTTCAGGCGCTATCAAATTTACCGCGTTTGATTGTCCATAACTGTACAGCATCCTACAGAGCCTCAGAGACTACGCGACTACAGTTCTAGCCAATACTAGCCGATACTAGCCGATACTCCTGTAGGAACGGCTCATCTACAGACCTCTACATAATTTGGGACATTGCTACAGGCCTCTCAGGCCTACGTGAACTATATAGCACTATATAGGCATTGTTCTTTTTCCAGATGTGATCTGAGCCACCAGGGCTCAGGTACGCCATTGATTCTCTATTAATGTGGTTTACAGGGACCAGAACGAAACCAGATGATATGTCCAGTTTGTTTTTATGTTCATGTACACCCGCTTATGTGCATGCAATGGAGTAGCATAGTAGAAAGCTACCTTGCCTCGTAAGTACTAGTAAATATCCATCACAGTTGATGGTTGCTTCCCGCTCACCTTCATCCACGGTCTCAGTGTAAGCACGCCACGTGTACTTACAACGCGTCGTGATCACATGACATGGTTTGCACTATTTGTATCTGTTTGCTCCCTGACAACACTTGTGTTCGACTGTCCTTCGTTGTGTTCCTTACTTCTACTTATATGCAATGAAGGTACATCTGATCCATGTAGCATTCCTTACTTCTACTTATATGCAACAAAGTCTTTTTTCCATTCCATTGCCTTTTGCTGCAGCCGCTCAGTGTTCTCGACCTGCATCGGGTTCCACTTTTTTTTGAACACTGAAAGAGAACATCTTTCTCCTATGACATGGATCACCACCGTGTCTTTACTGTTCTCGTTGTTCCATCAAGTCATCATCTTCTGACAAATCATCTTCTGACAATTTTGGTCTCCTTGAGGACTCAAAGCCCGGCACATTTAGAACAACAGACCCCATTGTCGACTGCCATCATCAGGAAAACCCCACTTTTCCTTAAAAGGACACTTAAATAACTTAAATGGACTTATGGTCCTTATTTAAGGGCATAAGGACAAAGAGGGCCTAAGGCATATTCTCTGAGTGTCTGGAATTCGACTTATTTGAACACTTATGGCCTTAAATAAGGGTTCTCAGACCCCAAAGTCTAAATAAGTCTATAAGAGAAAGTTGGGTTTTCCTGATAATCGATGACACTATTACCGTAATCTCCCCATCACTGTCCTCGGTCTCTTCAATCTCAGATTCACCCAGCATATCTCCGTCCCCTTTCGATTCTGAATTCCCCTTAGTCGAGACCGCAGATGCTGAATCAGAGTGCATATATCCATCTGAAATGACAAAGAAACTCACTACCATTGAGTTTCTGAAGGAGAGCCAGGCTCTAAAGCTACTCCTCGGAGACCTCACCCCTGCCATCATCAATTCCTGGCAGATGGCCTATGAGTGCCATTTCCGCAAGACACAACTTGCTGATGAGATTCAGGTTTCTACCATCGCATCCCGCATAGAAGATCTGCATCTTGCAGTATGGTACAATGTTTACCAAGGCCGCCTTGATGCTTTCGCATTTGAGAACTTCACAACTGAGGTTTGCACCACCTACCTCCCCCATGACTGGGACAGCTCTATCCACGATGAGGTCATGGGTGCATGTCAGAATGAATGCCCCTTTTGGGACTGAGCCAATAAGATTCAATCTAAGGCGGCTGTCATCTCTTGTACGATCCAGGCACTCAATGATACCAAACTCCATCAGCAGCTTCATGCAGGTGTCAACACCCATCTCAAGAAGAAAATGAACTCCCCGCACCATGAGCGAGAGTGTAATAACATCATCCTCTTCTCCTATTGGCTCTTGGCTGTCAAGGATCTCGATGAGGAGCTTCAAGAGAAAGACGACCTTGTGAGTAGTGCCATCACTGATGCAATCATGAAGGAGCATGCCAAGCATATCAATATATGCCCCCTCGCCAATAAGGTCTCTATCAGTGGAAACAAGCGCTCTGCCACTGAGACCGCTGCAGGTGTCTTCAACAAATTGCAGAAGATCACTCAGGACAAATGTAACATCCTCCAGAAATACCAAGGATGCTACAAGTATCACCTACCCGAACAAGACCACATGTCTGCCTCTTGCCCGAATGGCTTCCCCAATGCTACGACCTACACACTAATCTCAGAGGCCAATGTCGTGAAATGCATTAAAGCTGCATCAGGAAAATCCAACTTTTACTTGTGAGACTTATTTCGACTTTTTGTCCTTTTTTGCCTTAGTCACCCGCAACCTCTGATTCATTCAAACATTGCAAATTCACCCAAAATTCACCCAACCAGCTTCCGTAAGGGATCCTACCGGGGCTCCTCTTTGCTTCGCACTTCCATCTCAAGGCAGTTTTCCCACGGTCCCAGCCAATAGGAGCAGGCTGCATTTCCGTGGGCCACTACTCGTAGTCGTACCTTCAGCAGGCCGAGGCACAGTCTACTAGTACAGTACCAGGAAAGCTACTGTATACATGCCACCCCAGCCAGTAGGAGCTGCGGAGGCAGCCAGCAGTACGGGCAAATGCGCGCTGAGATCGGCCACTCCGGCGACACCTACCATCCCCACTAACCCTAAGCCTGATCTTATAATACCAATGACAGTCAAGGTAAAGATGATTGATGATGCAGTAAAGGTACTCCAGAAACATAAATTAGTCGACGAGGGCTCCCCAGAGCTGCAGAGCCTGGTCACCGGCCTGGGTAAACTCGCACAGATTGCTACTAAAGCTTCAGTGATGGTCGACATAATCACCGCTTTTGCTCACTATGCCAGCATGCTCACTGTAGAAGAAGCTGCCAGCAGAATTGTCGAGCAAGTAGTTCACAGGACCTACCAAGCCTTTGATCGGCTAGAAGAGACAGCCACGCAATTGGATCAGATAGAAACTCAATACAAGGTCCATGCAGACACGACAGGTCACCTCCTGAAGAAACTAGCCGAAGAGCATAAGAAGCTTGGAGAGAGAACCGTGCAGTTGGAAGAGGCAGCCAAGAAGATGCTGCAGGCATAGGAGGAATCGGCAAAGATACACGCCACCACACAGGCAAGTTCTATACCTCAGAACACTGGACTGACATATGCTGTGGCAGTCACACAAGTACTTCCCACCTCCCATGCGTCCACCCTGGCTCGCAAAGGCATCTGCATGTGTCAGGTTCTCGTCGATGGCGTCTTTGCTGCGAACTCCTCCAGTAACCTCCTGACGGAAGAAGAGCTCCTCGCCAAAGCCAATATGGCTTGCACGATGATGGGCGTCAAGGCTGCGGATGCTCCTACATCCTTCACCATCAAATCCTGCAAGAGACTAAAGAACGGAGGAGTGCTTTACGACCTGGACAGCCCAACATCAGCCCTTTGGCTCCACACCCCGGATGTCATGAAAGTCTTCCTCGAACACTTCGGAGGACACAATTGCCAGCTTAAGATCCACTCCTATGCTATTTTAGCTGAGTTTGTCCCCACTGCTTGCCGCGCAGACGATGACCACTACCTTCATGGAATAGAACATTTTAATAACTATGACCCCGGGGACATCGAGAGTGCTCGCTGGATCAAGGCACCGGAGGGACGTCATCCAAATCAGAGAGTCGCACACCTCATTGTCCGCTTCAATGCACCTGTGCCGGTGAACAATGCCATTCGCAAAGGAATAATCATTGCAGGTAAGAGAGTAAATGCACACAAACTGATCTCCGAGCCACATAGATGCCTCAAGTGTCAGAAGATCGGCATCCTGCACATCAGTTCAGAATGCAAGTCCATCCACGATACCTGTGGGTCATGTGCATCAATAGGACACAAGACTGCGGACTGCGAGGTTGACCCGGATGACTATCAGTGTGCTAACTGCCAGGCCTCCGGCCGTACAGACTGGCGGGGGCATGCAGCCTGGGATCGCATGTGCCCAGTGTTCCAGGAACATCGCAGGAAGATGGCAGACAGACAACCCGAGAGTAAGTACCACTACTTCCTGACAGCTGATCCCGCCACATGGGAACAGCTAACGGAAGTGACCTCTGCCCTGCCCAACACCGTCGTGGCCCCTCCCCATCAGGCAGTGCCGCATGACAACACACAGAACCCCCGAACCTTCTCTTTCAACTGGGCAGATGACGTAGATGCTTCAACGCCACCTCCTAGCAACAAGCCGCCTCGTCCGTCACAGGCTCGGAGGGCGCAAGAACAGCAAGATGCACAACGACGCTAGTCCTCCCAATCCCAGACGCAAATATTGGACTTCCCTCGCTGCGTGAGACAACAAGTGCTGCAAGCTCCTATCAACAGATGCTCCACTTCTCCCCTAGATTATGTCTGATGGACAAGTACCACTCTCTCGACTGCGTATCTGTCAACTGAATCTTAACAAGTCGCTAAATGCGCAATCCGCATTCCTTAACACTGTCACTACGAACGATTTTGACCTCCTTCTCCTGCAGGAACCTTATTTAGACTTCAACAACATGAGCCGCACCACTCACCACTGGCATGCTATTTATCCACCACATCATCCTAAACCCGACTCACTGTTACGCTGGGGCATACCACTTGTCCGAGGTTCATCGAGCAAGTACTAAGTCGTTTGATGACTAAGTAAATGCGAGTCAAGAATCGAGAGTCAAGAAGATCACACAAGACTAGTGATAATCCCGTTTATTGAGAGGTAAAGTAACCAGATCAAGACTGGGGTTCCAGTCGATGATCTCAGCCTTATATACTAATAGTACATGTTGAGTAATACATGCCAGTAATGGCTGAGTCAGTGAGTACCCTCGCGGTGAGGGATGAGTCAGTGAGTACCCTCACAGTGAGGGATGAGTCAGTACAGGTTCTAGACTATGGTGTCATGGTCTAGAGAGAGTCCAGATCGAGTCGAGAGATATCGAGACTCGAAGTCTCGGGTCAACGCATAATTGTACAACGTAATCGAAAGAAAAAAGATAGGTACTCAACGTACCGTTGTAACATAAGCCCCTTCCTATGCTGCCTTTGCCCTCAAAGGCATTTCTATGTATCTCCTGCTTCCGACGGTGTTACGCTGTTCATCGGAAACCCTTCAGTATACAACGAACCCGTTCCATCGAAGTCAGAGAATCGCAGGTCCGTTTGAGGGTCAGGGTAGGAGAACACTATCTCGCGCGCATCGTAATTTGCGTAGAAGTCATGAGAGTGGGAACAACCTTCTATCATGTGGCCAGGTGCTTGTTTTCCACAGTAGTAGCAACGCATCCTGTTGGATAGCAACGCAGGGCATGCGTTCGGGTCGTGGGATGCGGGGACAGATTGACAGATTACGCAAATGGAAAATGGGCAGGTATACTTCGGATGGATATACTGTCCGCAGAATACGCACTGGGGATGTGGTCGTTGATACGCGATGTATGCTGGGATGGTTCGGTGTGGCCCGATGAGTGCTGTGGAGAAGGCGGGAGGAAACGGGGAGGTGTTCCTTCCAGGCTCACTTTCTCCTGGATCTACGAGGGTCTGAGTTGATTGGTCCGAGTGTTCAGATGTTTCGGTCTGCACCGCATTTTCCGTGGTCATCGGGGATAATCCTTCAGCATGATGGTTGGGATTGTCGCTAAAGTTCCACTCCGACACGTAATCTGGAGGGGGGATTGGGCGTAGAGGTTGTGCGATGGAAACACCTTTATGAGTCGCTGCTGGAGTGGAAGACGTTGAAGCACCTTCAAACAAATCGAACGGGTTCAGGGTAGGAACTGTTATGGGGTCAAAGGCGAGATGTGATGGTCACGGTGGAGGTACGGGGGGTGTCCCCTCTCGTGGGGTCTCCGGTGGCATGTCTGTTAAAAAGGTGAGGAGGAACGGCTGCGTGGCGTCTGCATCAAGCTCGACGAGTCGTTGGTACGAGTTCGTCTGGGCAAACATTAGGGCTAGTGTTTCCTCCTGTCGCTGGATTCTATCCCCCATGCTTAACGCTAATGCTTCCATCCTCTCCGTGTATCGTCATGTCCCTGCTATTGCATGCTGCATGGAAATAATTTCAGATTTGGCAGCTTGTTGTGAATGGATGATTCTAAGCGCATACTGCGCGTGAGAATCATCCAACGTGGTTAGGGCTTGGAGATATAACTCCTCGTATTCTGCAAGTACACGGACTGCCCTTGACTCGTGGAGCTCACGATTCATCCAGGGCATGTCGGGTAAGGATGGCGTGGTGGCTCTAGAATGTATGGGATTGATCGAGTCAACTATGCCAACGACGAAGTCTTCTAGGTCACCGATAGTTCCAATTCGTTGTGAGAATCGGAGATGGGCCCTAAGGTTATCTCGTATGTCGTGCGCTGGTACTCCCCTAAAGTTCCTAGGGTGTGGCGAGGGAGTCGGAGAAGTTTCAGAAAAGTAGTCATCGACAACAGACTGCGCTCCAGATGATGGCATAGTGGAGGTTCAGAAGTGGTGAAGGCCTATGCGGGTGATTGCTGAGATACGATGCAGGTGTCGTCGCCTTTTATATTCCCCTAGTAGTCCCTCGGCATTTGTCAGATTTGCTTTGGGTTCCCATGAGTTCTCGGCAGAAGTGTATCCTTTCCACTTGACCAGGTATTGGGTCCGACCGTATCTTTGTCGGTGGTTTAGGATTGCTTCGACTTCGTATTCCTCATGCTTTTCGATAAGATCAGGCGGTGGTCTCGTATCATTCGGGCCGTGGATCTCCATTTCTTTGTAAGGTGATAGAAGGCTGGCATGGAATACGGGGTGGATTCTTCACCCTTGTGGTAGGGTCAGGCGGTAGTCCACGGGGCCTATTCATTCTTTAATAATAAAGGGGCCTTCACATTTCGGAGCCATCTTCCATGTCGGGTACCCGATGTTCAGGTTCTTTGTATCGAGCCAGACCTTCTGACCCTTTGCGAAGTGTGGTGAGCCCTTTCTGATCTGTTCTGCCATATGCTGTCTTGCTAGCTCATGCATGGCTAGGGCCTCATCTTGAATCTTCTGGAGTTCAGATAACCGAGTTTCCACTGAGGGTACATTTGTCCTAGAGAGTACCGATGGGATTCCGCGTGGTTTGTATCCCATCATCATGCGGAATGGCGACATCTTCCGCGCTGAGTGTTTGCATGTGTTATGGCAGAATTCGAGGTCCGGTAGTCGGTCTACCCATAACTCGGGGTTATTACCACAGTAGAGTCAGAGGTACACTTCTAGTTCTTGGTTAACGCGCTCCATTTCTCCATCTGACTGGGGGTGGTAGGCTGTACTCATCGAGGACCTGATTCCTAGTATTCTGCATAGTTCTTGGAATGCGAATTGTGTTCCTCTATCGGAAATCAGTTTGTCTGGAAGTCCGAATCGGGAGTAAACTTTTTCGTGGAAAGGTTTTGCCATTTGATCCGCCATGACCGTCTTCAAGCAAGGGCAAAGAATTACCCCTTTTGTAAGGTCATGGTCTACCATGACCATGAGAGAGTCAAAACCATGTCATACTGGTAGGTCTGTGATGAAGTCGACTGATGAACAGGAAAATGGTAATGCATTTGGGGTTGCTGGTATAGGCATTGGAAGAGATTTAGTGGGGTGCATATTAATCTTCATCTGTTGGCACCCTGCGCATCCTTCCACATAGGCGCATACTGCAGAGTAAAGTCCTGGCCACCAGAAATCATGTCGGATGAGTTCAAGGGTTTTGTAAGAACTCGGGTGTCCCATGGCCGGTGTGTCATGGTACAACTTGATAATATCACGTCGGAGAGGTTGTACTGGGGGTACATATACGCGTCCTCGATATTGGACAAGCCCGTCAGTGATTTTCCAATCATCGAGGGCAGATTTCATTGGTGGTGGTCCTTTGCGCTGCAAGGCTTGAAGCGCATCGTGAACAATTTGATCTTTAATCGAATGTGCGCCTATATCTTGGTATAATTGCATTGATATCGAGTGCACAAACAATGCTTCTGAGAGAAGGATACGATCTTCGTTATCATGATCTCGGTCACCCTTTCCAAGCAACCGAGATAGGGTGTCTGACTGTATCATTTGCGTTCCTGGGACGTGCACCAACTGGAGTTCGAATTGTGATAAGAAGAGACTCCATCGTGCTTGGCGTCTGTTCAGCTTCTGGGCTGTCCGATAGTAGGTCAGGTTCTTGTGATCGCTGCATATTGTTATCGGGTGGGGAGAGCCATCAAGGTAGTGACACCACTCTTCGAGGGCCCGAACGATCCCTAATAGTTCTCTGTCATAGATTTCGTAGTTTCATTCGGCTGGGTTAAACGATTTTGACAAATAGTCGCATGGGTGGAGGTCTCCGTTGACGTCAGTTTGTCTTAATACTGCTCTTGTAGCCATGAGCGAGGCATCGGACTCGATGATAAAGGGTTTTGTCTTATCTGGCATGAGGAGCACGGGGGCTGAGACAAACTTTGCTTTGAGCATATTGAACGCTTGTTGGCAGTTGGGGGTTCATTCCCATATCGGTTTCTTTGTCGTCATCGTGAGATCAGTGAGCGGTCATACTATCTCGGAATAATGATCGATGAACTTCCTGTAGAAGTTCGCAAAACCAATGAATGCGCGGACGGCTTTCACCGTTGTTGGTTCTGACCAGTCCTGGATTCCTTTCAACTTGATCGGGTCCATTCCAATATGGTCCGGATGTATGATCATCCCAAGGTATTCTACTTTTTGGGAGTCAAACGTGCATTTCTCCGGTTTGACGAACAGATCATTTTGCTTGAGTCGTTCTAGGACTTGAAGTGTACGCTGTCGATGTTCCTCCATGTTATTCGAGAAGATGAGGATGTCGTCCATGTAGATGATCATCCATCCTTCATCGATCAGGTCCTTAAAGATTTCATTCATCATTTTCTGAAACATCGCCGGGGAGTTGCAAAGTCTGAAAAACATCACCGTTGGTTCGTATAGTCCTCGATTTGTCTTGAATGCTGCTTTCCACTGATCACCATCTTTGATTTGTACATTGTTATATCCGGATCGAAGGTCCATTTTTGTAAAATAGCGTGCTCCTTTGAGTTTGTCAAGGAGTTCTGTGATCAGAGGAAGTGGGTAGGCATTCTTGACCGTTCCTTCATTCAAGTATCGATAATCTTGGCAAGGCCTAAGGCTCTCATCCTTTTTTCCTATGAAGAAGAAAGGGGATGCCATTGGCGATATCGATGGTCGAATATAGCCTTTTCGTGTATTCTCGTCTAGGAATTCATCGAGTGCCATCTGCTCTTTAGGGAATAGGGGGTAAATCTTGCAGTCTTTTGGTACGAATTCTGGTTTTAAATCGATAGCATGGTCCCATGCCCGTGAGCTCGGGAACCGTTCTGCTGCTTTCTTTTCGAAGACGTCTTTGTACCCCATCAGGTAGGAGGGGATGAGCTCTTTAAGCTTCTTCTTCGCTCCTCCTGCCTTTTGGATTGCTTCTTGTACCAATTCTTGCGATTTTCCGCTAGCTTTATAGAGCAGTGTGTCCGTGCCGGTGTTACATAGCCAAGTGTTTTGTGCGATACTAAATTGCCCCGATCGCGTATCCCTCGTTATCTGACCTATACAGGGTCCTGAGGTGGGTTTGTTACCACCTCGAGTTGGGCATTCAGAAGTTGCTGCATCACCTTGCGGGTCAAAGATTGCCAGCATCAGTTTGCCTTGGATATATGAGATAAGCAATTTGCTGTCCTCCAATTCGATCCTGTAATCGTGAATTCCTAGTTCTGGGTCTCCTGGTTTAACTCGATTTTCCGGATGTTTTGGATTTTTATTTTCCCAGGATCGTCCATTATTATCAATCGGTCCGATATAGGGAGCGTTCGTCGCCTTTTTGACCTTTGGTTCGTTATCTCAGACTGTTTCGACAGTGGGTTTTCTCCAATCGTAATCCAGTTCACCAGTTTCCCAGTTAATCTGAGGGTTCATCGCCTGAAGCCATGGTAACCCTAGGATAACCTCATCCTTTCCTAGGTTGATAACATAGTACTGGAATACCTTTTGTTTTCTTCCAGCCCTTGTACGTTTCCATACACAGTGCGTTGCATATCCTAACTTGTTTGGAGTACCATCAGCATTGAGAATCCTAATCGGTTTTGGGAGTCTCTCCTGGTGGTACTTCATTTATTCGATGAACACTTTGTCCATAAACATTCCTCCAGCTCCTGAGTCCAATAGAGCGGAGATATCAGCACTTTCACTCGGCACACCCAAGGTAATAGGAACGTGTATCGATTTTCCCAGGAATTCACATACAATTACATTGGGGTGACGAGTTGGTAATGACGGTACTGATGCTGTTACAGCCTGTCAAATCCAAAATCCGATCCTTCTAATTTTCTGATCTAGTCGTTACGTTCTTTCTGCATCTTTCATAACTCCTGGAGTAATTCGGAGACATCACTGTCAGAAATGGTCGTTCTTTTGACCGATGTGGTGTCTTCTTCAACGTCTTCTATCTTTGAGGTTGAGGGTTCCCCTTTGGATTCCTCGACCTGTATCTCCTTGCACGTTCCAGAAGTGTTTCTGGGGTTCTTTGGCTTCCTCTTAGGACAATCACGCGAGCGATGTCCTTGTTGGTGACATTCAAAGCAGAGTCCTCCTTTGATGTGCCTGTCGCATTCTTTTTGCGACATGCGGTCGACATCCATGGCATTAGGGTCTCGTGTGTAAACAGGTCCCTTCCTCTGTTGTTGTCCCTGCTTCTGCTGCTGTCCGCTAGGACGACTGTTCTGGAATTTCGTATACATCTGCATCGACTTGGTCTGGTTGTCAATTTCAACTGCCTTCTTGTACCACCCTTCCATATCGGTGGGGAGTGGGTTGACGTTCATGATTCGCTCAAGAAGTCATCGGGATAGTCCAATTTTAAAGTAATGGAGACGTGCTGTGTATTCCGTGATTTTGGCCTTTTTCATAAGTACCAGGAATGAATTAACGTAATCCTGTACTTCTCCCATTTGACGGAGAGATTCAAGGTCTTTCATCGCCGATCCCATGGGGTAGGTCTCTTGGAATGCTTTGTTGAAGTCGATGACCCATGCGTCGAAGGTTCCATAGTCCTTCAGCTTTCCTAGGTCGTTGGTGTGGTCATCATACCACGTCTCAGCCCATGCTTCGGCGTTCCTCCTCTCATGAAGGACATCGTGAACGTGATCTTCTTCTTGTTGCTATTGTAAATTTCATCATTGATATCAACATACATCTGAACCCTTTGTAGGAATATTTTTGTTTTGCTCATATCTCCCGAGAAGGGTTCGGGTTGGGAGAGTTTGAGCTCGGTTGGCTTTGGCGTCTGCATCGTGGGAGTCGGGTTTGAAACGATGTGTCTGTGGACTGGGATTGCAGAAAAGGCTGCTGCAGGTATAAGCTGTGCGGGGATCGGTGCTGGGGCCATTGCTTCTGCTTCTGATTCTGCTTCCGATTCTGCTTCTGCTGCTGCTTCTGCTAGTGGATGTCCCGGGGTTATTTCATCAACTTCTCATTGTATTTCTGCTGGGTCGATTAGTCGGTCGATGTTTTGCCTTGCTGCAGTATATATCGCGAAGTGTTCTGCTTCGTTCAGATAGTCTCTGGTGAATTCTTCAAGAATTCTTCGGTAGGTTGCTTCGTCTGATGCAAGCCTCCAACCCGGTCTCCCTTCTCTGATAGTTGGGAGGGCTCTGAATTCTCTCAATGATGAGCCTCGGTGGATTGGATGTCCTAGGTTTTCGTCCCACCTTATCGATGAAGGTTGAGGGCACGAAAATTCTTCTAGTCCTCGAAAATCCAGTGTGTCAATGTTTTCCTAATCTTTCCGCACCCTGGGTAACTCGCCCTGCTAGGTGTTTATCGGCTAAGGTTCGTCGGGTTTCTGTAAATGTAGTTCTGCTCTAAACCTGAAAAGGTTGAGCGGTATCGGATAGTCTCGATCTTATGTTACGCTGGGGTGTACCACTTGTCCGAGGTTCATCAAGCAAGTACTAAGTCGTTTGACGACTAAGTAAATGCGAGTCAAGAATCGAGAGTCAAGAAGATCACACAAGACTAGTGATAATCCCGTTTATTGAGAGGTAAAGTAACCAGATCAAGACTGGGGTTCCAGTCGATGATCTCAGCCTTATATACTAATAGTACATGTTGAGTAATACATGCCAGTAATGGCTGAGTCAGTGAGTACCCTCGCGGTGAGGGATGAGTCAGTGAGTACCCTCACAGTGAGGGATGAGTCAGTACAGGTTCTAGACTATGGTGTCATGGTCTAGAGAGAGTCCAGATCGAGTCGAGAGATATCGAGACTCGAAGTCTCGGGTCAACGCGTAATCGTACAACGTAATCGAAAGAAAAAAGATAGGTACTCAACGTACCATTGTAACACTCACGCACTCAGTCCATTATTCTAGTCAGCATGCGCCTTCCTATGAGTTCATGGAATGACCTCAAGGTTGATTCCCCTGACATCACGGCGATTTCGGTTAAGACTAGCTCTGGTCTCATTCACGTTTTCAATGTCTACAATGACCAACAGCACCAGAACTCAATTCACCAGCTATGTCGCAGCACCCGCAGCCTAGATTTATTGACTGACGAGGGTTTTATCTTGTGGGCAGGTGACTTCAACCACCATCACCCCATGTGGGATGAGGAGTGCAATGCACATTTATTCACAGAACAAGCTTTATCTTCAGCATAACCCCTACTCGATGCAATCACTTTTTTTGACCTCGACATGCTACTGCCTCCAGCTATTCCCACTCTCCAGGCTTCTAACTCTAAAAATTTTACGCATCCAGACAATGTGTTCAGATCTAGCGGACTAGAAGACAGGCTTATCTCCTGTGACGTAGCTGCTGACCTATGCCCTCCTATGACTGACCATTTTCCAATCAGCACAATTCTTGACCTCACAGTCCACTTTAGAGAAGAAGAACACCAGCGTAACTTCCGGAACGTTGACTGGAGGGCTTTCTGAAACACCCTGCAAGCGTACCTAACACCACTAGCTGTTCCCAAGGGGGAGCTAAAGTCAGAAGCTGAGTTCAATTCCCTGCTAGCATCTGTCATGCAGGCACTGGAATCCACAGTACAGGAACATGTACCAGTATCCCGTCCGTCTCCTTACACCAAGCGCTGGTGGTCAAAAGAACTTGGCGAGACTCGAAAAAAGGTACGTCATCTCAGCAAGTGTTCTTTCAAACTTCGTTCCTCTCCACAGCATCCACTACATGCAGAGTATCGTGCAGAAAGAAACCGCTACACTGACCAGATCCGTGAAGCAAAGTGTGAACACTGGGAAGCATGGCTGGAGTCAGCTGACAGTGAGTCCGTCTGGAGTGTTAACCGTTTCACCAAGTCAGGGCCAACAGACGGGGGAAAGACTCGAGTTCCCCCTTTGAAACCGACGAACAGTACAGGGGACGCCGTAGCAGACAACCAAGGCAAGAGCCAAATACTGTATGATGCATTCTTCCCATCTGCAGGTACCCGCGCAGCAGTCCCTACAGACTGTTACAACGCTCCCCACTTGTGGCGCGTCTTTTCTTTTTCTTTTCCTTGTTCTCGTTATGTTACCAGACCACGTGATACAACATGTGACTCATTGGAGCGCAACCTCCGATTCTTTACCCAGATGTCCAGAACCCCTAGTCTAGGGTTACACCGGATCCAACTCCGGACCTTTTTCTTATCGCGCATGCAAGACGTGCATGTACGCCTCATCTTTACCTCGTTCTGATACACGACTCGTTATCCCCATTAGTACTGATTATCTCTCACGACCTTACTCAGCTTTCTCATACATATTACTTCCTCGCTGTTACCTTGCCCAGATATCGTTTCACCTTATCTAGCCAATGAACGATCTCGCATTACTGCGTAGTACTGCGGATACCTTT